CTGGCTTCTGGGCACTGCTGTGGCCATGGAGGCCATCTCGAGGCAGAATTGGACAAACTGTTCTGCATGCATTTTCCAAACAACGACGTAACTGGCGGCTGAACTATCAGTTTGATGCATCGTTTGGGAAAAGAATGATGTAGTGACAAGTATTTCCCAAAACCTCTAGTTTTTCTGTCGCAGATCTATCGTTTGAATTACGTTATAAAACGCCCATAATGATGCTCTAAACGGGGTGGAGTAACAACTTTTTTAGAGAAGAACCCATCATTTCTTTGTGCAAATGATATTGTTTTACAGGCACAAAAAAAAAAAAAAATAGTTTTGGTAAAAACATCAACTCGTTTTCCATATTAATTGAAATATATGTAAACGGCACATATAGGACCAATGTTGCCTTTACAAATATTATTGAGAACATTACATATCCTATTCTAAATTAACATAAAATCACTTACAAAAAGCTAACACATATTCTAATCTTATATATAAATAAATAAATAAATAAATAAATAAATAAATAAATAAAAAAATAAATAAATAATGAGCCCATTCATTAAGAAATAAAATCTAATATTTATTATTCATTAGGAAATGAAAAAAAATCATACTTCAATAATAATATTATATTATTATATAATATTATAAATATAATATTTTTTTTTTCACAGGTTTTGGAGGAATAACATAAACTCCGCTTTTAAATAATAGATCGTCTATAGCTTCACCATGAGCCACAACTGTGTTCCAAATGGAATCAATGTTTTCAAAGTGCACTGCAAAGGGAGTTCATTTGTAAACATGAAGATCGCTAAAACTGAACTGTAAATACTTTGAAAGCAAATTACACCATAAGAGCAATGACTTTCATGCCTTGGATTTTCAAGTCAACAAATGGTCCTCTTGAGCAGTTGTCTTGCAAGGTCTGCCTGACCTGGGTTTGTCAAAAACATCCAGTCTCTTTAGATTTTTTTTTTTCCTCTGTACTTGACGCTGAGGCACATTGAATGCGACTTCCACAACAGCAGTGGATCTGGTCTTCATTCATTTATTAATTTTCTTGTCAGCTTAGTCTCTTTATTAATCTGGGTTCGCCACAGAGGAATGAACTGCCTGCCAACTTATCCAGCACGTTTTTACGCAGCGGATGCACTTCCAGCCTCAACCCATCTCAGGGAAACATCCACACACACTCATACACAACAGACAATATAGCCTACCCAATTCACCTGTACCGCATATCTTTGGACTTGTGGGGGAAACTGGAGCACCTGGAGGAAACCCAAACGAGCGCAGGGAGAACATGCAAACTCCACACAGAATTGCCAATATTGACAAGGAGACAACATTTATGTCTTTACAAAAATTGACTCAGTGAGTTTACACAAACCTGGGATTATTAGAATACTTTTTGACAGTTTCATTTTGCACTGAAACATTAATACAAAAGCAGTTGGGATTAAAATGAGCCATTTTTTGTAAACAAACAAAAAAAATCTTGAAATATATTTGAGTGGCACTTCAGGTCAATTTGTACAAAAGCATTTTTCAGGGACTGTATAATTTAATACCACAGTGTAGCAGATTATTTATTTTGGTAAAGGGTCTATTTATTGGTGTCTATGAAATATCATAATTCTTTAGAAGTGGAAAAAAAATGTGGAAGTGACATTTATCCAATTGTCAGAAACTTTTAGCCTGACATAACGTCTGGTGATAAAAATATATAACATGTAATTTTACATATAGAGTGTTTAATATTTCATAACACCTTGCATCATGCTCAAAATGTCTATACTAGGAAAAAATGTTAAACAGAAAATTTGTGTGCCCAAATAATTTGCATAATATAATAAAATTTTCCGTAGTGTATGTACATGAAAGGGAGTGTATGAGTGTTTCCCAGTTATGGGTAGCAGCTGGAAGGGCATCCGCTGTGTAAAACATATGCTGGATAAGTTGGCGGTTCATTCCACTGTGGCGACCCAAGATTAAAAAAACAACTAGGCTGAAAACAAAATGAATGAATGAGTGAATATAAATAATCTTAAGTAGCTTTTTTTAAATGATTCCACTATTACCTGAAAAGGTACATTGTTTAAATATTACTGGAGTTTCTGTAAAACATAACATATTTTTATGTTGTCATTGTTATATGATACGTTATACAAGAAAATGCTATTTCAGTTTCTCTTAATGTTATTTGTTTTGAATTTTCTATAAATTCACTAATAATTTCTAAATAAAAATAATGTTTCAAAGCAAAACACAAAACATAAACATTTTTTTGTATTTTTGCTGACAGTAATTTTTGAAATATCTTAGAATTTAAACAAGTTTGAAATTTCTCCACTTGTTAAAATAATATTCTCTAATTGTGTAAATGTTCAAAAGTCATGTCTCTCGCAATAATAATTTAAAATTAAATTAACAAATGTAACTCTCGCAATATATAAATTATTTGCTTTAGGATAGGAAGATTAAATGTTTGTTTGTTTGTTTTGTTTTTAAAACTGGTACTTTCTTCATATGATTTTATTTTAAATGGGAAAATAAAATTTGGAAAATGAACAAAAAAACATTTATGTTGTAGTTATGTTTGACTGAACTTCTTAAAGTCAGTAATGTTTTTGAAGCATGATTCAGGGTTTTGTGCAGCTGTGTCTCTTTTGCACAGTAATAAACAGCAGTATCTTCAGCCTTCAGGCTTTTTATCTCCAAATACACCATGTTTTTGCTGGTGTCTTTAGTGATGGTAAATTGGCCTTGTAGAGACTGAGCAAAAATAGTCCCAGTGCCACTGTCAATCCGGCCAATCCACTCCAGGCCTTTTCCCGGTTTCTGCCTTATCCAGTGCAGCCAGGCAAGGGAGAGTCCAGAAACCACACAAGACAGTGTGACTGATTCTCTGGGTTTCTTGACCTCAGAACCAGAGGAGGTCAATGACTGACCATGTGCATCTGGAACAAACACAGAATGATTATTAATAATTAGAAAAAAAACACTTATAGGTTTAAGCAGTTTTGGTAAACAAATTTAAACTTACATGAAATCAGTACAAGGAGGATAAAATAAGTCAGATTCATCTTGTTGTTGAGTGCTGCTCCATGTAAAAGTAATGTGTCTGGTGTGTGAAGAAGCTTTTAAAAATCCAAGCATTCATTACACAGAGAATAGACTGTATATTTAGGGCTTGATTTGAATAAAGGAGGGTCTTAAAAACTGAGCAAAATCTGCTGTGCTACCCTCAGTGTCAGAGTTCACACAGTTTTTTCATTAAGAATGAAAATCTTAAAACGTATTATGTAATATAAACCTATAAACAGTATACGATTGAAAACTAAATTATTTATTTTTATATTTTTATACTGCATTTCCTATTATATTTATCTTCTAGAGAAAGTCCAGAATTTGTTTTAGTTTGGGTATAATAAAAAGATGGTTTTATATGAAGAGCTCAAATGCAAAAGCCTCTAAGTGCCCTCTGAAATTTCCTTTCAAAATTAGCACTTTTTCAGGATTCAGAAATGTTACATTTATAGCAAAATTCAAGTGAAATAACTGAACAAACACAAGAGCCTGAGAAAAAATATCATTTAAAACAGATGGCACTTTGAATTTTTGCTGCTGAACTCTTAATATAAGATATAAGATAATACCATATAAACATTTTTTTTATTCTTTCTGATATTTTCTGGCTATATACTGTACAGCATTATACATGCTCAAAAAAAAAAAGCACAAAAGAGTCACTGCGTCAGTCCCTTTCACTATTTTTCTTTTATTTTAGTTGTATTTTTTAACATGCCAGATCATTTGTAAATTTACAGGTTCATTGTTATTTTACTCATCAGTTCTCAAGCTTTGATTTTCCCAAAGTTCATAGTACAGCTCAATAATCAATTAGATTAAGGGGTATTCAATTATGGAATGATTCTTGATGCACATTATGGCTTATTCTTCTGTTTATTTATTTATTTATTTATTTATTTATTTATTTATTTATTTATTTATTTTATATATATATATATATATATAATTCTGTATTCTCGTGCAAATAAAGAAAACAATAAAAAAAGAAAAAGAAAAGAAAAAAGTTAAGATTTACTATTTTTTCCACTGACATCCTGGAGCCTTAAGGTGCAACTGAGGTCAATGTGCTTTAAACATTGTGCTCCTCTTGACGCAGTAATACACAGATGTGTCATCAGGCTGCAGATTCTTTCCCTGTAGAGTCACTGTGTTGCTGGAGGCATCCTTTGTGATACTGAACTTGCTTTTCAAAGAATCTTGCTGAATCATGCTACCACCTCCCCAGATGTAATTAATAAACTCAAATGTTTTTCCTGTGGGTTGTCGAATCCACCCTGTTGCATGTTATCTGTAACAGAATATCCAGACACCTTACAAGAGAGAGTCAATGATGCCTCGGGTCTCACAACTTCAGAGTCTGGCTGGGTGAGCTCAATTCCATCTGAAAAAGAGACTGTTGTTTAAATTTAGAGTAAATAAGATATTTATATATTGCAATGAGTGTCTGTATATGTTAATTACAACAAAAATAACAAACCCTCACAGGATAAGGCTGTTAGGATCAGCAGTACAAAAAAATGTGAGGTACATGGTTAGATTAAGCTGAAACATTGAACAGCATACAGAACACCGACAGATAGTTTTATCATTCATAAGAGGAAGGGGAAGTTACATTTGCATGTTTCTAAAATAGAAAAGAAGCGTTAAAAATTATGGTAAGTTAAAACTATTGACTATAGCTTTAGTTTTAATGTAGAATAATCTATGAATTGATTGCTGGTCATCCCTCAATCACATTCTCCATTATAATACTTTTTGTTTAGATCTGTGACCTTTCTTCTTATTTAGTGATCATCGTTTATTTCTTTATGACAGCTAAAGAACAGAAAGTTTACCAAAATAAACCTTTTTTTATTTTATTTTAAAAACACTTTTGTCTTACATTCTTTTCGAAATGCACGTTTACTTTGTTGCCAAGCCAAAAATTCTGTTAATAGTTAATATTTCATCAAGCTCCATCAACTTATGTTTCAATAAAATGGTCTGTTTGGTCAAGTCTTTGTTTGGTTTGTAAGAATTTAAATATTGCAAATATTCTGATATCTTTGACAATTCAAAACATGAGCTGAAAACAGAGACTGGTGACTTCACAACTCACCAGGGAGGAATGCGGGAAAAACCAGTTCCTGCTGCATTTGCATCTGACTATGCTGAGACTCAGCTTCATCCCCCCAACTCACACATATGGTCATCTCAATGTTTGAATGTTTTAAATTAACCAAACTGACTTTAACCATCATGTTTGATATCATTTGAAATGTCTCAGTGCGATTGGTACAATGGTCTCATTCTCTCAGAAATAGACATAATCAGAACAATAAATATATAACTTCAGGCATCTTTTGAACCACTGTGAGGGGTGTGACTTTTACACTAAGTGTGAATGCCTTCTTTGTTATTCACACCCCATTCCTTGAGGGAATTCTTGGATTATTTAAGGTAAGGGCCAAGAAAAGCTCAGCGCGATTCTGCCTAACCAGATCAGCCCATAACATGGGGTCTGCCCCATGTTATGTATATTTCAAAGTCAGGAATGCATCTTTTTCATCTTGGATTTATCTTTGATAATTTGATGTTTTGTATTGATCATTTATGAATTGACTGATTGAATTGGCATAATACATTTACCTGACAAATAAATTGTAATGTTTGACCATATTTTGCTCACTCTGTAATTATTAATTCAAGTAGATTACGCTGTATCCTTGTTTCCGCACGTCTTGCGTCAGGTCAGTAGACGGACTAAAATCCAATTGAGATGGAGCATTGGCACACTAATTGTGTTTTAGCGATCCGGCTGACTCTTGATATTGATTCATGTGTACTTAGGTGGAAAGGGCGATAACTTCCGTCTAGGTCAACAAGGTGTTGCACGACTAACCTAGATTGGGTACCCGACCTTTGTTTGAAGGTAATATTATTCTAAATTAAGTTCATATGGGAAACCATGGACTTGGTGAAAACCAAAGTTACTATAGAGTCCAGTAGTCGGGTACATTTATATTAATGCCCTAACCTCTAATTAGAAATGATGATTGTCTTAACTCAAAGGTGTACATCTAAGCGGGACTAACTAAAGTATTTTAGAACGAGCGCGCTGGTAGCGGCCATCTAAAGTATTAGTCAATTTACCTCTGTTTAATATTCAAGACTGACCGGAGTGTGACCGTGAGGGACGCCTTCGGCCGAGGCGATTTCTCTGAGCGACATGAGCACCCGAATGAACGGATGTAATAGTTACTAGTGAAGACAAAAGGTTCAAACATTTATCTAAATTACATATTGATATAATCTTCTTAATGTTTTATAATTGGAGTCAGATAAAACGAGAATAAACATATTAATATTCTAAACCACCTCATACTAAAATTGGAGTCAGATATGAGTTAAGTTTAATATAAATCAACATTGTGCACTGGAAAGACCGAACATGCAGTGAACCTTCATCCACCAGTGGACACCGGCATTGGGCCAGCTGGGTGGACCTTACAGGTTAAATTTGCAGGCTGAATTAAATGTATTCTTGTTATTTTTTTTTTAGTTGTTTACTTCTTATTATCTGCATTCAAACTTTATTTCCCTGCCAGAATTGATCTATAGGTGAGACTGACAATAATGTTTAGTTGTGACACAATTTAGCTGAAAGTGTACAGGGTACCCAGCTTTAATGAAAAGCACATTAGTAAATCTATCAATGAAAATATGTCAATTTTAAAATGTACATTTTGCCTTACTTTGTTAGGTGTATGCTCAAGCAAATATAATGGTGAGAGTTTTATTTGTGTTCAGAGCAGGTTAAGGTAAGCCTCTTTAGAACTTATTGCAGTTCTTTATACTGTACACAGCTCCTCTGTGGTTTAATAAAAAAGAGAGTCTCCATAAGCTGCAAATTGCATACAATGATTGTATCAGGATTCTTCTTTAAAAAAAAAAAACAGCTTCTCTTGTTATCTGTATTGATTTGTACTCATATGTATATATGCTCTATATGTCATGTACATATGCAGATATTTGACTGAACTTGTGGATATGTGCAGGTATAGATTTTTCATAGAGGAATATGATTAGGTATCTGTACAGTTGTGGATGTACAAGTGCATATGTATCTACATTTCAAATATGTTTCTTTATTATTATTTGCTGGCATTGGAGGGATTTGGGGTTTGTTCTTTAAAATGTGAAAAACTTTAAATAAAATATATAAAATAAAAAAACAGATGTTGTAGTGCAAGTGAATTATTCAGTAGGGTAAGAGTTCTATCATTTTTTTTATGAGAAGTTTGATCTATAAGTTTATCTGTCTGTAAGAGTCTCAGAATGGCATTTTAATGTTGCTGATAAACCCTATATTACCCAGGTGCGTTATCAGTCACATTTTATTAAATTATTGGCCTAACTGTCTTTTTAAATGTATGTTGAGTGGTTTGTATTGTTTTGTTTGTCTTTTGTACTATTTTTGTAGTGTCTGGAGTATCCTTTTCATATCAATATCATATTTGTGTCTTTAACTAATTTCTTTAAGGCTGGTTAAATGTCCCAAATCTTTATTCTAGCATAGTACTGAACACTACAGCTGTCTGCTTCTGTTTTTGTGCAACATCACATCCTTTTGTCTTACTGTGTCTCTTGCACAGTAGTAAACAGCAGTGTCTTCGGTTTTAAGACTGTTCATCTGAAGGTACAGCTGGTTCTTGTTATCATCTCGTGAAATGGTAAATCTTCCCTTAACCTTGTCGGAATAATAGATATAGCTGTTGCCATTGGAAAGTGTTGCGACCCATTCTGGCCCTTTCCCAGCAGCCTGTCTTATCCAAGCCATCCAATAGTCACCAAAGTTAAAACCAGAAGCGGTACAGGTCAGTTTATGAGATTGGTCTGGTTTAATCACTACAGCCTCAGATTCAACCAGTGTCTGACTCCTGCATTCTGAAAAATGAGAAAATAGCATTTACAATAAATATTGTAGGAACGTGTGCCAAAGCTTGACCACTGAAAACAAAGGGTTAAAGAGCATCGTTGTCTTACCGTGTATTAAATAGATCATTAGCACAACAATAAAGATCATCATTTGCTTCATATTTGATTTTCTGTCATAGAAATTTATGCTAGAAAACATATAGACAGGGAGGAGTGGAGGTATTTATGTGTTTATGAACAGATGAAGATTTGCATACTTGGAGTGCCCTCTATTGGCTAAAATATAAAGAGAAACGTAAACCACCTGAATATTACTTTTTTTTTTTTTTTTTTTTTTTTTTTTTTTATTACAGAATATCTGTTAATAATATTGCTCCCCATATTGTTTGATTGACACGTGTTGTTCATTTATTTACACTTCATATTACTTTATAAGACCTCTGATGTTATATTCTACAGTTTGATAATGTGACCTTTTATTGACATTTTAGTAGTTTGAAGCGTTATATTGTAGACTGTAAAATTATATGATCAATAAGTCTTGGCAGTATGTTTTATGTTAATCATAAGTTATTGAACTAAATCAAAATTATATGACATGTCAATGTAATTTAAGTTAAATTACTCCTAATGTTTATTTGATTCATTATGTCAAATATCAATTTTACTAATGTTTTTTAAATTAATTAGTTATTTTTATAATAATAATAATAATAATAATAATAAAATAATAATAACAATATATCAATTTATTATTATTATGATTATTATAGTTGTTGTTATTATAAATTGTCTTTTATTATAAATTGTTTATTATAAGTATTTAATATCATTATTAATATTGTTTTTTATACAAATAATCCATTTTAACAATAACCCAGTCAATATATTGTTACAAATACAAAAAATGCCAATAAAAGACACTGTGTTTTTTTCCCCAGCAAAGCAAACTTTTTTTGCTAGCAAAACTTGAAATGAAATCTGTCAGAACAACATTTGCTCTGTGTTTATGGAGTTTTCATATGTTTGATGATGTTGCAGTGTGAAGTGCATTTAGTTGAATTAATAGTTTTTTATTAAATGAAAAACTTTTCTTCAATGAAAGCACCTAAATCAAATCAAATGAGACCTTTAAAAACGTTTTAAATTATTTAAAAGGTTAAAATAAAAAATTGTATTATTCACTATGACACATTATGTTAATTAAAGCTCCATATTTCCACCCAGCATGCACCTTCGTTATATCAGCAGTAAGTGCAGTATTGTTAATGTCTTTTATGTAATATTGAGTATGGCTTGATAAAGCATGTATTCTGTTGTAGCAAATTCTACAAAATGTGTTCACCTAAAGGAGAGTAATGCTTTAATTTCCTATAAATGGTTTAGTCATGTCTGACTGACTTCACAAACACGATGCAGGTTTTTGATGGGCGCTGCAGCCTTTTGTGTAAGAGTGTCTCTCGTGCACAGTAATAAACAGCTGCGTCTTCAGTCTTCAGGCTTTTTATCTCCAGGTACACCATATTTTTGCTGGTGTCTGTTGAGATGGAAAACTGACCCTGTAGAGACTGAGCAAAATATACAGTTGAGCTATATCTTCCTCCAATCCATTCAAGTCCTTTCCCTGGTTTCTGGCGTATCCAGTGCATCCAGTAGTCACCCACTGAGAATCCAGACCCAGTGCAGGACAGAGTGACTGACTCTCCTGGTCTTTTCACCACAGAGTCTGAGGAGGTCAAAGACTGACCACTTACAGCTGAAAAACATGGACAATTAATGTAAAAAGAATGAAAACTATTTAAAGAAGCAGACTTTGATTCTTAGTATAGTACACAATTAAGAGCTTCTTACTTCTAATCATCATCAACACAACTCCATAAAGTAACATTTCCATTGTCACCCCAAACACACCCTAAAACTGTGATGTTTTGAGCACAGAAACTGACTCCAGTTTCAGTTTATAACAAAATCCCTTGGGTATTTTAAAGGATGCTGATCCTCCCTTTCTACATTTTTTTTTTTTTTTTTTTTGCATAGAGTATATGCAAATTCATGGTATTTTTTTTGTCTTATAATAGAGATGTGATCTTGTAAGTATGATTTGGTTTCTCCTACTAAATCTATTAAAATGTCACTCTACATGTTCTGATGTTTTCATACAAATCATCAAAAAAAAAAACTAGTAAGGTCTTTTCATGTTAAATATCTAAAGCAATAACAAAAGCAGCAAGCCTCATGAGCAGAATCCGGGTGTGTATGTAGTAAATGGTGAATTTTGCTTGATTAGTATTTTGAGCTTTTAGGTAATCTTTTAGCTGTACTAATTCCACGGGTATATGACTGGTGCTTGAATGTGGCGTCTTGAGAAGGGTCTGGGTAAGTCTGGTCAGTGAGGTGGACAGAGTGAGGCATTGTGGTATTTCATGTTGTTAACAGTGGTGGATTTTCAAGATAATTTGGTTGTTTCTGATCACTGGTAAATTATGTATGCACTGTATATCACTACAGCAGTCAGAACAGGAGTGTCCTTCAAGAGTACTTTAGAATGAAATAATCCATTTTTGTTCTGAACGAAAATGTTGTGAGAGATTTTAGAAACCAAAAAGACAGATGAAAGGAGAATAATTCAAATTATTAACAGAAGTTGGAATATCAATTGTGTGTGGATTTCAAGCTAGAACGTGTCACGAAATACAGGGAGACCCAATTGCAAGTAAAATATATTTGACTCAGACAGAATGACAGAAGGAAGAACGCAGGAAGATGATGAGTGAGTCAAGCGAGCAGCAGGAAATGTATTAATCGAACAGGGAGCACTGAAGAACAAGATCAGAGAGCCGCCAGATAAGGCACAAGAGTCCAAACACAGAGCTCTCCCCGCGACACACGACCAGAACTCAGCGACCGGAACCTGACAGGACACAGACAAACAGACGTGAAGAAAACGAACTGACACTGTGAGACAGAAACGCTGAACATATATAGGCGCGGTAATACGCTGCACCTGTGGTCCGCTGATTACAGCTGAGCGGTGCTGCGCACGGCAAGGCTGGTGACAGCGACACGTGACCACCCAGCTGATAAGGTAAACACAACTGACAGCAACGCGACTCTAAACACAGACACAGAGACACCCAACACACACACTCATACACGCATATACGTAAAACGCATAACGCACCACACCGCACACACACACATACATACACACACGCAGACACATCATAGAAGAACAGACAGATCCACAATCGTGACAGAACGTATCTGAATTAGAAACAACAATAATAAATATTATTTATATTATGTGAGTATTGTTGTTGTTGCTGTTATGATGATAATGATGAAAATTATGATGAAAAACATAAGGATGATAAAGATTGTTCATAAACGTATAAGAAAACTTTTCACTTTGTATTTCTGAGTTCTTGTAGAGCTGCTTCATCAGATGGAGTCGCTGTGCCCTGGTTCTCGAGCACAGTAATAAATAGCAGTGTGCTCTTCTCTCAGACTCTTGGCTTCAAGATATTGTGTACTTTGAGAAACATCCTCACTCATCGTGGTATTTTTTATGTAGTCTGCATAGACAAGATAATCAGAGCAAGAACTGCTGCCAGTATTAATTTTCCCAATCCATTCCAGAGCTTCTCCAGGCTTCTGCCGTATCCAATGCATGTAGTGCTCAGTCATTGTAAACCCAGATATTTTACAGGAGATCTTCACTGTTTCTCCAGGTCTCTTTGTCACAGCAGGTGACTGATCTAATCGAATTTCATCACCACTGATACCTGTGCAATAAAAGACAAAATTGCATTAAAGAACAGCTTTAAACAATCAAAGTGATAACTAGAAAAATTAATAAATGTCAAATTACCATGCTGTAAAAGAATCAATATAAAGATGATAAACAAAATGCTTTTTGACTCCTTTTCCAACATGTTTTCTAAATGTAAAGTCAGCTCATTAGATATTATTTCACCAGTCATTGAACAGTTAAGCTGAATCTGTGTGTTATATACAGTTATCTAAGCACATTTGCATGAGCTGATTTCTCTTGCTTTAGTTATATAATATATGATCTGAGAAAGTAAAATAAAGTGAGTATTGAGGCTGACCATGTGAGAGGGAGGAGTTCCTGTTGGTGAACTCAGTTCTGTTTATTTGGAGTTTCCTAATGTCTTTTACATTACTGTGGTTTTCTACGTATGTAATGTTGATTACCTTTGGATTCAGCTCTCTGAACTAATCCTCATTAAAAGTATGCTGTTTTTTATTACATATCAGAA